AAACTAAATATTGCTGATTCTCCCCCCGCAATCCCCCTTCTGGCTATGGGAGTGGTCACAAATTTGAAGGTCACAAATTTGAAGGGCTCTGAAAGTTTGGCTAAAATCAATTTGCTCAGATTTAGTCTTGATCTCCATTTTACAGATGTGGAAACTGAGGCATGGGGCATGACTCCTCTCAGGTCATACAGCGGGTTGAGTGTCCTGTCTCCTACAACTGTGCTATACACCTCCTCCTCCTCCTTCCCTTAGCTGAACAGCTCGGTAAGAGTGATCCTGCTTTCAGGAGTCATCAAAAATGGGCAGTGTGGAAGAGGCTGAGCAGCTCTGAGAGGCAAGCGCAGCTTTTCCTAGGAGAGATGGTTTCGGCGGTACGCGAGCAGCGCTCAGCAGATCAGCCGACTCCTGAGCTCCCATTTTAAATTTCTAACCCAAGGTTTAGATGCGCAAAACAATTTCTTCCCTTGCAGCTTTGCCTTGATGCTTTTCCAGGAAACGCCTCTCCAGGGCTGTGTAATAGTTTCCTCGATTACAGCCTCGTGACATAAGTCACCTCATTGAATGCAGCCAGCCCTCGTTTGCACTTAAGCACCTCTGTCCCACAAGCTCAACAGACGGGAAATAACCCTGGATAGCTCTCTGGGGATTCGGTCAGAAGAGAGATTTTGATCCCTGCTGGCTCTGACCCTGGATGAAGGAGGCTGGAGGCTCTTAAATCTTGCATTCTCTGGAAACTTTTCATTAAGAGGGCAGGGCATGTGTCACTGGCCGGCATGCTGCAGTCCAACATCCCACCCCCCTCCCGGCGCCTGTGTCAAGTCATCTGCCTCTTGTCTTTATTTTTAATTCCTTTCCTTGGAGGGGGATTCTTCACTTGGCTTGTCAGCTCTGCTCCTCTGCAGTCCTGCACTCAGCTGGAGCAGGGGGTGTCCTCAAGTTCCAGTTAACCAGGGACCAGACGAGGTGCTGCGTGCTCCCCATTGATTGAGTGGTGGCTCTCGGCATTTGTGCGGGTTCGACCCCCTCCTCCCCCCAAAAATGATCCTTCAGCAGCCTGAGCAGAGGTGCCGTAGAGCAGAGCCTCTTCTGCCCCAATAGTCTGAAGGACAGGACCCATTAGCCCTGCTGGCTGTGTTATGCTTACCAACCCAGAGGAGGCAAGGCTAGGTGAAGCTGGGAGCAAGACAGCAACTGCTCAGCAGGCTGCATCCCTTCAGCAAAAGGACTCCCTCCCTCCCTGCTGTGGTGCTAGAAATACTCCCGTGCACTAAGGAGCATCAGGAAGCACCTCTGTCAGACTGCCCAAGTCTAGGTGCACTGGTGTTTGCTGTCATCATTGGCCTGGCATGTGGGACACCCCTTCAGGATAGCTTGTTTGTCCCTCTGGGCCCTGCTCAGGACCCCAGCTTATCTCACCGCACTGGGCTAAGCACATTTCTGGCTTGATTGTCATTGTAGTTGATTGCCTCTGAGCTCAGGTATTATTGCCTACTGGTCACATTACTGTGCACTGCTCTCATACTTTCCTGTGAAAATCTCAAAGCACTTCAGTGACTTACGTTAATTAAGCCTCGTACCCATTCTCAGATGTTGGCTCTAGAGAGGGGAACCCAACCTCTCACTGTGAGCGAGGTACATGGAGCTAGAGACCCCCATCTTCACAACCCTACACGTGGCCTTTAACCACTCGACCAGCATTTCTCAACCCGTGGGTCACGACTCAAAAGCAGGCTGTAAGAATATATGAAAGGGCTGGGAGCAAACTTTAAAAATGCACTCTCCTTTAAGTAGAAAAACATGGGAAACCGTGGCTTTTCCCCTGCAGGCTGGCAGAGCTCCTGCCTGCAAGGGGCTGCTCGGGGCTCCCCCTGCCCCACACATTGCGGGGCTGGGGCCTGGGGTGGGGGGGCAGTGGGTTGGGAGTGAGGGGCATTGGGTTGGGACTGACCATGGATGTTTCCAAATAGGTCCTGGTCCAAAAAAGTTTGAGAACCACTGCACTAGACCACTCTTGCTGTTAAAGCAGCCCCATCCAACTGGCCCACTAACCCCTTGCCAGGCAAGTCAGGACTCTAATTTCCACCTCCCTCTGACTGGTGCAAAGAAGAGCAAATCCCCTCCTTCATGCTCTCCAGGCACTTGAACAAGCTGCCGTGCTAGTTTGCTCCCCGACTGAGAAAGGCCCCGTCAGATCTTGCAAGGAGCCATTTCCTCGGCTGGGGATGGAAGAAGGTGGAGTGGAAACATGGAAGTCCGAAGGAGGCAGCCAAGACAAATCCTTTACCTCAGCCGGTTGGAACGCTGTACTCCGCTCACCGCCGATCCGATGTGTAATTGCAGGAGTGCTGTCCTCGAGTATAAAAGAAGACTTCATAAACATTTGTTGGGGGGGGGAAAGAAGAGTGGTTCATGGCTCGGTGTCTTCGCTTAGAGATATCTGATGGCTTTGCCAAGAGTTTGTAGCACTGGACTCAGTTCCCTGCTGGGTTCCCCCTCTTTCTTCCTTTTATTTTAATTTTTGTTGTTGTTTAATTTTGTTTTGGGGGGTTTTCACGCTGCAGCTTTTTTGCTGCTGTTTCAGTGGAAGCAATTCAGGAAATTCCGATCAAATCCAGCTGAGGAGCAGTTCTGCTCATTCGTTCTCCGGCAGAGAACGGCCAAGTGCTTAATTCTTATTAATAGCAACCACAGTTCACTGGTGTGCGTGTGTGCTGGGGAGGGGGTGGAAATAGCCGGCTCTTTGGCATCCCGTGTTATTTAAGCTTCTGAAAATAAATGTGCTCTGGTGCAAATCAATCTGTTTGCAGCTCGGTTCTCAAAGCTGGCAAGGAAAATGTTGCTAGAGGAAAGATATATTTATAGAGGGTATTTATTTTATATAAACAGGCACTTAAGGCAGAGTCTGGTGTTCCATCGCGTCGTAACCTCCTATGCTTTCGCAATCAAAGGTTCTCATAAGTACTTGACCAAACAAACTCCTGTTGCTGTTTAAAAAGCACCGCGGCGGAGAGCTACTAGCACTGGCAAACCTCGGAGTGGGAATTCATTTCTGACATTTCATTTTTCAGGCTGCTGGCCGCCAAAAGCTACAGGCGTTCGTGAACCCACTCCCCAGTCTGAGCGCAAACAGAGCTCAGCGCCTCTAAGGTTTCAATCACGGAGTGAGGCCCGGACTTGGAACCTGAAGTCTTTTCGAGAGCCAACTCCAAAGCGCACACGTTTTTTGTTAGAGGAAATCCTGTTCATTCGAGAGATGTGACAACAACTCTCAGCTCAGAAGAGCTTTTTTCCTCCCTGCTTTTATATTTATATATATATAATATGACATATATATAATATGCATGCCACAGCAGAGACAGCAGCTGCCACTGGCCCTGCCATAGGCCTCTTTCCTTGGTGTGTGTGTCCATATGTGTATGTGTGTATGGATATATACACACGCGCACACGTGTGTGTATTTATTTCATAGATTGTAGAGTCGGAAGGACCCAATGGATCATCGTGTCCGACCCCCTGCCCCTGGCAGGAAAGAGGACCAAGGTCAAATGACCCCAGCCAGGTGACTGTCAAGCCTCCTCTTGAAGACCTCCAAGTTAGGCGATAGCACCACCTCTCTTGGAAGCCCATTCCAGATCCTGGCCACCCTTACTGTGAAAAATGTCTTCCTGATGTCTAACCTAAATCTACTCTCCACTAGTTTGCACCCATTATTCCTAGTTACTCCTAGGGGCGCTCTGGTAAATAGCGCATCTCCAATTCTTGATAAACTTATAGCCTTTATAGGCCCCCTTCTTTATATATAAAGAAGAGACAAACAATTTTATATATAGTTGAATGAGATGATTGTTCACCTCAAATAAATTATACCTGGGTTATAAACTTCCATGAATAAGAATTCTTTATATGTATAAAGAATTCATCTCCATAGATGGATAGATAAAGAATAATTATTCATGGAAGTTTACAACCTGGATGTAATTTACCTGAGATGAACATTCATTTGGGCAGCTTTGAAACCATATATTAGGTACCTTATTACTATGTATTAATAATATTACCATATTACCTAGACGACCTGGCCAAGATCAAGGCCCCCTTCAGCCAGGCAATGGGCCTATGAGTCAGAGTTGCACAAAGGGCTTACAGTTTCAACAGGGTTGTTATCCACACTGTACGGAGAGGGTGTTGGAGCCCAGAGAAGTGAGGTGATGTATTTGAGGGTCACACCGCAAGTCTGTGGCAGAACGTGCCTCTCCACGCTTATCAGCTCTTCTGGCTACATATATACCACTGTGTCCTGAAGCAGGCATTTGCCAAAACATTTCACTTTATTGCTGTACATGGTCAATTATTTGTCCTCTTACTGTAGCCCACAGAGGATAACGGCTCCTTCTGTACAGAATGGACACTTAGCAATCGGTACTGTATGACCTGATAGTCCTCTCTGATGACTGTCTAGTCCAGGTCAGCAGCAGCCCTCTAAGCACAGCTTGGCCATCTATACCCATCTTGGGGACAGGAGGGAAATGTGATGGGAAGCAGCAGGGGACAAAGGGAGGCACAGCTGTCTGCCCTTTTGAGTCCTGAGCCTCCCTTTGGGTATGCCCAGTTGGTTACCTTAGCCTGCATGGCATTGCTTCACTGACTCGGGTTGGTGATCGGGAGCATCTCGGATCCTGCAAACATGCAGGTCAGGCCCTGAACTTTTACTGCCATATTCATAGGGCAAGGGATTGCACGTGGTATTGGGCAATGGTAGACCTAGCCCTTGGTGTTGATGAGCAAGCAGTATAATCTGTTGGGCTCTGGTAGCATGCCCATTGCCGTGTTATCCGAAGGGTGGAAGGGTGCATGTGTCCTGGCAAACTGAGAATTGCAACACTGACTTGCCACTGTCCCCCAGTCAAGCCGATACTTATTCATGAACTTTTAAGGGACTCAGAGGCAAAAAGCAGCAGCTCCCATGTTTCCCTAACCCGGCTGTCCTTTTTTGTCCACAGAAAGCCTAGCAGCGAAGCCAGGATGCTCTCAGAAGCCGTCTCATTGCTGCTGCTTGTAGCTGGAATCCGCTCAGTGTCTGGAGGAGGAGCAGCAGGCTACGCTCAAGTGAAATACATGCAACCCATGGTGAAAGGGCCTGTGGGACCCCCGTTCCGGGAAGGCAAGGGACAATATCTAGGTAAGGAGCACATTGAAGCACAAAATGCTAGGGCTTTTAAAGGCAACATGGAGTAAAGAGTTTGCTTTGAGAGCGCGGAGACTGTCAGAGCCATTGGAATGGTGCAAAACTTCTCCTCCTGTTTGATGCTCTCATGATCCACAAGCATGCATGACCTACCACCTCCCTCTTCCTGCAGTACAGTATCCTTGTCCAGATTCACTTGCACAGTGTGAAATAGGTGCAGCCCCTCAGATGCAGTCAGGGAAGAGGATAATCCTGAACCATACTTCTCTGCTCCAGCTGCAGATGAGAGCCTCAGGCAGGTCAATGAATATTCAGGGACTCTCACTGCAGAGAGAAAGGTAGATGTGGTCTTCACTGGGATCACTGCTGGACACACTGACTTGTCATTGTTTTATTCCCCAAAATTGAAAAAAACTTGCTCCTGATCACTTTTTTGTGTGCTGCTGGGGGTAGCTGGCCTGGAGAGCTTTGGCATTCAGGGACACTTAGGGTCTGCAATGTGTTGCAGAGACATTGGGATCTCCTTTTCCCAGCTCATTTGTTTTTAGTTCCCCAATTCCACAGTGACATTCAGCTCTCATTTCTAATGTGAATGCAAATCATTATCAACTGGATGGGACCCCTTCTTTTTGCTGCTAAGCCTGGGAGGGGGCTTTGCATTTGCAGGCTTTATGCTACAACTTGTATATGTGTTCCAGACGAATTGCCATGGGTGATTGCCTCTTATTGCAACAGGCAGAGAAACTGTTGCTTGCATGAGCCATATATAAATCAGCTGCAGTCTCATTCATGAAATTAAGGTTGGCTGTTGGGAAACTTCAGATTTAGATTAGATCCTGGGAAAGTCTTCCATGCTGTCAGAAGGGTGAGCAGTGGACTGAATTGTTCAGGGAAGCTGCAGAACCTCCTTCACTGGAGGCTTTCAAGAGGAGGCGGTTGAGAGCGATGATGTAGGGATAGCATTCCTCTTTTCCTGCAGGGAGCTGGATCAGATGATCCTTGAGGTCCTTTCCAACCTGCTGATTCTATGATTTCAAGGGTACAAGCTACAGGCCATGGCATGCCCATAGTGTGCATTTACTAACCTTGTCCATACCTCGGGATGTACCAAAACTTTCTCTGAATTACTAAACACATGGACCAGAGCACGATCTGATGATCACAAGGGTCAGCTTGGGAGAACACTTCCCTATAAGTGTATGTCCTGATGGAAGTCAATGAGATTTAAGGAAGGCATCATCTGGTTGAACCCAGGAGAAAATTTCTCATGTAACCTCTTGTGTGGAGAGGTTCTGGTCCTCTAAGCCTCTCCAACAGTGCCCATAGGACATGTGAACCTCCATCAGATGCTGCTCACACCCCCTGCACAGGGCTGGATGCAGGGAATTGCCCCATGCTGCTCCCTCTCCTCTCTCATGAAACCTGCTGCACCTATCAGCTGTGCACCTGCAGCCTCAGCCTAGGGGGCTGTACTGAGGACGATTCTCCTGCAGGGGGGAAAGCTACCTGAGCTGCTTTCCACCCTTCATCTGGGCTGCTTGGCATTTCCTTCTACATGCTGTCCCCCAGTCCCCAGGCACCTGTGGCTGTCTGGGGTCCCCTTGCCCACCTGTGCTCCATGTCTTCCCAGTGCTGCTCTGGAGATGCAGAGCCCAGGAAGCACACCAAGAGATGCGTGGATGCGCAGGTGGCTTCACCGAGGAAAGAAGCTTATGGCATGGCCAGTGGCAGCTGCTGTCTCTGCTGTGGTATGCGATACCACTGCCCAGTGCATTAACTTTCCCCTGCCCATACTCTTCTGAGCGTCAGGCAGGTGTTCGGTTCATCTATAAGGGGCCGAGCCCTTTGTGAGTGAATAGAAATGGGCCTATTGAGGGCTGACAGCTTCCTCCGTAGGAGCAAAACCCCCTGCTTTGGGTGAACAGTCCTGTGGAAATAGCTCATGCATGTGGGGCTGATGTAGATGAGGGGAACATCATTCGCACACCTGACAAGTCGTGCAGGCCAGCAGGTAAGGCAGTGTCCTGGGACCCGGGAGACCAGCTCCTAGCTCTACCGCTGACCCGCTGGGTGATGGAGTAAAGTGTCTTGCTCCCAATTTCCTCCTTTTCTCTGCAGACCAGAAGCTCCTCAGGGCAGGGATGTGCTTGTAGCAAAATGGGGCTTCAGAAGAGGCCTCTTGCCAGCAGGCAGGGTCTCCACCCCCCAAGCCAGACCTGCACACAGTTGGATAGATATGCCCCCCTCCCGGCAGGGTTTCTCCCTCCTGAGATGCTGGTCCCACACTGACTGCAGAGCCTGGTCCCTGCAGCTCTGCTGGGCAGAGGGCTGAACTCCCCCATGAGCAGCTGTCTATAGGAAATAAAGTGCAAAGCACCTGGTTGTTAGCTTGACCCTCTCCTTCCTACACTGGACTCAGCAGTGGCATTAGGGCTGATGTAGGGCCCCTTCTGGGCCAGTGTGGTGGGGCCACATGGTCACACCATTGCCAGGTCCCAATCTGGGGTAGACCCTGACACAATCTGGCTTTGCACCAGAGGAGCTGAGATCAGATGTGCCAGCTCCTAGCCCAACCCTTCGCTGTCATCCAGGGCACGTTCTTTCTGTCTGTTAAGTCTGAACCTTCATGCTGCATTCCCGAGTGTCCACCTTTTCCCCATCATGTTTGTTGTCCCCCCGCAAATGGGAGGGGGTCGCACCCACCGGCGCTGATGCTGAGAGACTCGGCGAACTGCAGAGAGTGAATGAGATGAAGCCCTTCCCTCCCCTTTAAGAGCAGGAGGCTTGCAGCTCCACATATGTTAAAACGATCTCTGCAGACCGACATGTGCCGCTCAGAGGGGCAGGGATGCCGAAGGGGCTGAGGTCATTGCTTTGTACGATGGGCCTTTTGCAACACCACCGGCCAAGCCACAGCTTTTTCATAACCGTCTGCTCTGCTCCAAGTCACTCCCCTCCCTCCCTCTCACCTCCATTTCTTTCCACCCTTCCTCCTTTCGCCTAGACCCAAAACACAGGTGCACAGCGTTCGGGAGTCAGCCGACGGGAGGGGACAGAAGCCTGACTGTTGAGGCAGTGCACCTGCAGGGTGATTTGGCCCAGTTAATTAAATGCCCTTGGAGGAACGACTCTGCCCTGGTTCATGTCTTTAGAAACAGGGCTTGTTTGTTTTACTCCGAGACAGGGTTTCAGCACTCCAAGCTGTGTCCTGAGGAAGGACAAATGCATTTCTTGGCTTGCTCACCCAGTGCTGCGGTGTTCCTCCCTACTCGGCCATGGCCTACCCCTGAAGCCCAAGGGGCAGCTCCAGGAGCTGGCCACTTCCCCCTATGTAGCCACCCTGAGAGGGGAGATGGGGGGTTGGGGGGACATGACATCCACCCTGCTTTTCATGGCATGTCCATGCTCCTGGGATAACTCCCACTTCTGAACCACCTCTGTGCTTGCCCCGAGCTGGACTGCTGCAAGCGGTTGAAAATAAATCTAACCCAGAGGGATAGGCAGGAGCTTTAAATCCCTGCAGGGGTGAAAGGTTGGGGCAGCTCATGAAGATTTCCATTGCCAAAGTGCATGCCCGATGGCTGGTGGTGGGGAGGTGTTGGGCATGCCTCATCCCATGCCAGCGGGGTGCTCATCAGATGTCCTCAGGACCCCATAGAAGAGCCCTATTGCAAGAGAGGTGTTCTAGTGACTCCTGTCGAGATGTCTCTTTTGGGTTACACTTGGGTGCCATCCTGGGTTGGTATTTCTGCTGGGCACTAACTCCTGCCTGTGTAGGCCTGGGGTCCCAGGATCTGGTTTCTCTTCCCTGGTGCCAGGCACAGTGGATCCCCAGCCTCTGACCAGGGACTTGCATACAAGTAAACCACTGGCTCGTGGCACAGCCACCGGCATGACTTCCCCAAGAAATGCTCCCTGGCCAGGCAGTTATCTTAACCAGCCACTGGATGTCACTGCTGCTGCAATAAAATACAGCCATGAGCTTTTTTTGTCATGATTATTATTTTCTGGTCCCCATAGAGGGACTTCTGTGAGCTGAGGGAGCATTGCCCACAAAGCTTGCCTGCCCTCCTGCTCGCAGATGGTGCTTCTAGGCCAGATCAGGTCCCCTACATGGCCCCTCTGAACCCCTCACGCCAACCCCAGGGCCCTCACACAGCGCTTTGCCCCTCAGCTACAGCCTCGCGATGCTTAGGGAGCAGTGATGCAGGCTGGATGTGGCCCTGCCCTGTGCAACTCTGCTTAGAAAGCCTGACTGTTCCTCTGGCCAGGGATCTCTACTCTCTATTGTTAGAGGGAAA